TCACTAGAACATCTTGTGCTTAGCTAGATCCACCGTCTATGATAGCGTTCAAGGTCCTAAGACCTATGCTATCGTGTTACACATTCTTTTATTGTTGTTTGACTCCTAAATGAGTTCCTTCTCCTTTTTTGAGTAAGGTGTTGGGAACTCACGACATTGGATCTCCCCACCTATGAAGATTTGTGATCAAGGTGCTCCCATTTTGAAATAGTGTGTGAGCAAAATTCGAGTACATGCCAATGTTCAACAAACCGATGGTGGCTGCTCAGGTAGTTGTGTGGTCCAATCGCTTGGGTGGCCACTTGGGGGGGGGAGGGAGGTGAAGAGAAAAGTGAGGGTGTGGGATTTTCAATTTTGAAATCTAAACAGTTATAAATTATAATTTATATGTTTAGAAATATAAAACTTTAAAATTGCCCAAAATTTGAAATCCATTAGCCATTTAAGCTAAAATACAATATCACATGACATAAATGTAAATCCATAAGCATTTCAAACATTACTTAAAATTTAAAATTTAGTAGTTCAACTTCAATACATTCCATTACCCCAAAAAACAACACATTCCAAATTTCCAAAATCCAAAGTTCCAACATACAAACATGACGTGACAAAGAATTAAATGACCACGAACTCAAAAAAGGCTCAATTTGTTTTCATCATCACTTTGAACAATGTCATCTCGTCTCTCCCACTAACACTCTATTAGATGCCAAGCCCTCTCTTTTGCAACCTTTTTCATCTCCAAAAAGACTTAAGTCAAATGTCTTCCGATTTCACAAGAAGTAAAAAACTTGATTTGAGATTGTTTTTAAAAAAGTTTGGTTTGAGCCCCAAAAAAAAAGGTTTTTGGTATGGAAGTGTCATGTTCTAGGGTTTTGATGGTCCAAAATACCCCCGATAGCTTAGTTTCCCCCTACTAATGGGTGAGAGTGCGTTAAATGCCCTTTTGGCAAGGGCACTTTCTGCCCTTGCCAAAACGGCTCAGGGCGGGTGCCTAGGCAGCTGGGCGGGTGACTAGGCTGCCATGCACTAGGCCGTATAGCCCCTGGGTCGGGCGGTGAGGCCTCCCAGGCTGGGGTGCCCGACTTTTTGAACGTAGGTACATACCAATGGATTCACATGCCAAGGAGAAACATGTTATTTGTAACCAAGCTAGTCTAGATCAATTACAATTTAAATCTATGAAAGCATCAGTTGAGGAGGGACGTTGAGGACCATGACCTTACAATTGGGATCATATCTTTGGTGGTAGTGGAGTAGCTAGTTCTCAATAAGAGTTGGCGCACCTACAAGAAAGGAGAGGAAAGTGGGATGGAAAATGCACAAGTTGGAGTGTACAAATTGAGGAGCTAGGGAAAATGAAGGAGAAGATGATAATGATGAGGCCACTAAAGTAGACACTGATGATAGAAGGGCCATGGGAGCAAGTATTTGCAGTGCAGTGGGAGCAAGCATGAGGATTTGACTATCTTTTTGAGAATATTGGGTTCGAAGATGCTACCAAAGTTGCATAACCATAAGAGTTATTCTTGAATCGTTACAGAGAGAGTAGGAGACCATAATCTGGGCGACTATGATACTTCTTATCATCATATTGGGTGTAGTTGAGTTATTCATTGGCTGAAGTTTAACTCTCTTTGAATGTATATTTATAATTTTTACGCTCCTATGAATGTGAGTGTTTCCTTCTACTCTGGGTTCACCCAATCTAGGTGGTTATCTCGCTCCCACATTTCAAAAAAGAGGTCTTTGAAGGATCTGGACTTCTAAATTTTGGCATCTCGATCCTCGCTATTGAGGATCTTGATCCCTACTGTTCAAGATCTTGATCCCCACCTGAAAGACCAAGATAAAGACCAAAATCATAATTTTTAAGCCAGATAGCAGTGCAGCTACACTTATAATATAGTTGCATTTCTTGTTGGCCATAAACAAAGGGATCCCTACTGTAAAGAGTATGTATAGTCTTAGACTATATATTCTTGTTATGTTTAGGAGCAAGATCCCCAAAAGTTTGGGATTGAGATCCTTAACATTTAGGGATCTTGATTTCTTTATATGCATTATATGGACAATGCTTCCAACCATATGGATCTTCTAGCCTTTCATGATCCTTGTCCTGCTCTTGATTTGCTTCCGATTCCAATAACTATGATTTAAACATTTGAATGTATGTCAAATTTTGAGTCATGCTAAATATTGTTTAAATAGTGTCAATACCATAGTTACTAGGATCTCCTCTCTTGCTTGGAGATCCCTTGTGGAACCTTGATTCTCTCGATTCCGGAGCGGATCTTGTCCGAAACTCAATTTAGTGTTTTAATCCTACACGTTATTGGTTAACAATACCGGGAGCTACATTTTAAAGCCACAGACCATGGATCCTCATTACTTACATGAGGAACTTGTGTTCTAAGAAAATGGAGCTTACTCCTATAAAAGTTATTCCTCGCTTCATAATATTTGGATCACTTTTAGTAATGCGCTCGAGTTAAGAAACTAAAAAAAATGTCATTGGGAACTTCGCTTCTTACGTATAGGATCTTGCACCTTTATATAATAATTCTCGATCCTATGTAATAAAGGAGCTCGATCCCCAACACACATGGACCTCGATTCAGACCTTTGAGGCTGTACAGGTATCCATCCCAAACACGTGGATCTTCAGTATATCTTCGATATGCTGTTCCCGCCCCCGATCCAGGAACCGTTCCCATTCCCATACCGAACAACTATGGTCAATATGCTTTCTTTTTTTTTCTCCATATACATCTATTTTGACTTGTTTTGTTTTCCTAATGTTTTGTATTTTTCATTTTTAGGAATTTTTTCTGATTTTTTCCATCTCTTTTAGGGATGGTAGAATCACTGCACGGACTCAAGACTTTTTGAGCTGACTCAGCCAAACCCTCCTTAAGTCTAGACCCAGTTTTGGGTTTTAAAACACTGATTGTGGACATTGGATCTCATTTAAGATGGAAATGAAAAAAATCACTTTTTCATTTTTGCCGACTTGAAATGGTTTTAGCTTTGATTGTGACTCATATTGGACGCTATTAAAATAGAAGCCTAGGTCTGCCTTTGTTTTTTTGGGTTAAACTCAATGTTTGAACAAGTGACGCCCACCATGTAAACTGAACGACTACCATTGGACTAAAGTCTGAGCAACACATATTTGGACTATGGAGACATTGAATCGATGATGGTGACATATGCGAAGTTGTGTTGTTTCTATATCTTATGGGACATTTTACCTCACAATTTTTGTAGTCAGTTCTGAGACTTTTTCATCCTGATTATTATGTTGATTATGTCATGGGCACTAGGATCTTGCACAGTGCTTTTGGTGTTTGACCAATGGATATCGTTGTTTAGTGTTTGATGAATGGATATGTGTGGCATAGATGTAATAATTAAAGAACTGTACCTCATGTTTATGCTGGCCAAATGTAATTGTCTATTAGCATTTATTTGCTGATTCATTGCATTATAACATATAGAAGCAAGTCATTATTTTTTGGTTAGTTAACTAACTGTCCAGTTATTTTCTGAGTTTGATGTTTGTCGACAATAGTGCTCTTTTTCTCATTATTTATCTTTTCTCCTGTTGGTTAGCTTGAGTCTTCCGTACTCAAGGGAAGCTTACTGATAATTAAATGACATGTATGATTTGCTTGTAAATCACATTTAAAAGAAGTGATTGTCCACAATGATACCATTTATCTTTATTACAAGGAGGTGACAACTATTCTCACTCATTAGATGTCAAATTGGATGGCTTTGGGTGAGTTACAAAGTCCAAGAATGTTTTTATGGAACTTCGCGTCTATTCAATGACACTTTTGCAATCACCCCGCTTTGAAATTTAAGGAATAAGAGTGGTTGTGACCATCTTGTACAAAAGGTAAATGTTCTCTTTGTAGACGATCCCTTAAAAGCCAACATGTACCTAAACATCTGTAACTTACCAGTTATGTTAATGCTTCTTTAGAATAGAAATCTACATATGGTAATGTTTTCTGTTATTTCATCAGTTTGGGGAAATCTGAGGAGCATTTCGTTGGGTTTCCTTTACTTCTAATATATCTTATGACAACCTATTCTGCTTATCTCTGTTTTTTTAATTGTATACTTGTACTCATGATATTGCCTTTTTTCATAAAAAAATACTCTCATTATAATGCCCTATGTTAGGGAGGTGAATATTTAAATTCATTGCTTAGATGCATTTTGGTTGTGTTGTTAACAAAAATGTCTTCGCAGTTTCTGGTTGTTTCTTTTTATCAGTTTACTAATGTTGCGCTTGATGGGCATCCTATAAATTTAGACACATAGGTAAGAGTGGCATTTTGGCTCGTAACTTATTCATTTTGATAGAATCACAAAATGATGTTCACTCATGGAAATGTCTGATTTCTTTGCTCGTGACTGCTGAATATTGCTTATCTACTGTTAGTATTCAAACTTAAGGAAACCAACCTACTCCCAAATGGTGGTCCAATTTCCTAGCATTTCATGTGAGGGAATAGATTGGGGACCAGAGGACCAAAATATGTTAGTGGTATTTAGAGAAGTGAAAATAGATTCTTGATGATTACATCTTGTTTTTGTGAAGGAGATAAGGACTATAAAGGGCGTGTGAGGGTGCAAGCTTGCTGTGCATGAAGGGTGGTGGAGTTGGGTTTCTTGCAATATTTGATTAAAATTATTGTTCAGAAGATGAAATTTGCCTGCATATTTTTTGTGGACATTTCTTTTGATTATTCAACATTATAAGTTGTAACTTGCACTACTTTCTCAACCATTTGAATTTCAATACAACTGTTCCTTGCTACTTATCTAATTTTGCTCAATACTTTGAATTAGTTCTTGCATATATTCCATAGCTAGACGGTATTTCCTTTCTTCAATTCCTCATTAATATTTCTTGGAGTTTATTATTGAGCATGTTGTCGTTTACTTTTCCCATTTCTAAGGAATTGTTTGTGAATATGCAGGTCACAAAGCAATAAATTGGACACCGTTTTCAACATTTTCTTCAATGCATGCTATCCATGAAAGTACCTCTTTTGTTACTGTGTTGACATTGTACAATAATTCCCCTGGGTTCGGATCACCTGATTATCGCAAGAGTTCAGATATTGTGATTGTAGGCAATGCTGCCTATGATAAGCCAGGACGTTCTTTGGCTCTTTTGAATGCCTTTATCAAGTTTATCGAGGTATAAATAGCCTTGACTAGTGCCTAAGGAAATGTATTTACTTCCATTGGGATGAATTAAAATGAATTTTGATCATAAGGATGTCTTGGACCCTAATCATGTCTATAGATGTGGCAAATGCTTGTTCTGTTGGTTATGTCAATTTTACCTGATGAAGCCTAATTAACAACATTTTTCTCTTAATTTTTGTAACTTCACTTGTGGTAGCACCTTTTCCACCCAAATTTCTCATGTGAATGTTCATAATCCACTTGTCGTCGTGTGATTTTTCTTAGGCTATTTGCAGTCACATTGATCAATTCATTGTCCATATCCGTTGTAAGTGTTTTTTGATATTTACTTGTTTCCAGACAAAATTATAGGCATGCCTGCGATTAATATTGTTTTTAAGATGTTACTTTTAAAATATGCTTGTTGAAAACTTTTGTTTCATAGGATACTGTTTTCAATTCATAAAGCTGTAAAATATTTTTCATGTGATTATTTCTGAATTTGTATTGTGACATTGTTTGACTTTACCTTCTCATATGTAGAATTTTGTAGGTGTCAATGCCCAGAAGCAATGTCATTATTTTGACTGCTCCCGATTCTGAGCTTCATGTTCATCAAAAGAATGTTGAGGTAGTGCCTGTTGAAGGAGACTTCTCACGAGGGAATTTGATGCTTCAAAGAATGCGGTCTTACATTGTAAGCACACTCTTCCTTCCTGATAGTATAATTGTTTGAAATATTGTCTTCTTTATTTGTGACTGGAATGGCTTTGGACATTCCTATACAAGCAACACAATAATTTAGTTAATCTATTTGAGGATGGGGGACCATTGGGTTTGCCCAAGGGAAGACTGGTATAGCGTCTGCCTCTCCCATTTTGAAGGCTTTAGGGGCATTTGTTTCACCCCAATTATGGCACATATTCACTTGGACCTGGTGTAAAAGTTTCTGAAAAAATGAAAGAAACGACAGTAACACTGAAATTTTTTTTGAGAGAGAAAATGTGGTGAATATGGGCCAACCATTTTAGGAGAGGAGAAAATGGTTTTAGATTGAGGCCCTTATGAGGTTTGTTTGACCCAAACTTTTGTAGATTGCCTCATCATCACTAGATGAACCATTTAAAACAAAGAAAAATTGATTTTCAATTCTTAAAGGGCTAGATCTAACCACCAATGAAATGGATGGATTGAGCTTACTGAGTTCATAAAAGCTAATTGTTGTGTTTTAGTGAAATTTTAGGTGGGCTTCTTTGCCAAGTCCAAGGGAATGTGTGCCGAATTCTGGGTGAAACAAATGTCCCAAGGCCTTCAGAATGGGAGAGGGCCGACCACTATAGTAGTCTGTTTGTTTGACCTTTTGAGAATTTCTTATAAATGGTATTATAATGACTGCTTATGGCTGTAGACTTATCTTTTAACTTGTCAATGACAAAATTATGTACTCTGTCATATCTCTTGAAAAGTTGAACTAGCTCAATGATGGCTATGAACATGATAATTTTAAAAATGTTGAACCGCTCCCTGTCTTCTCTAATTCATGGAAATGCTACTAGAAAGGTGATCTAATCAGCAGTATCGGTGGGAATGTGTGTGCGTGTATGTCACATAGGGTGGTTGGGCTGTGCGTGGGAGTGGATTGAACTGGGATGTCTTTTTGCTGGTTTCCCATGTGTACAATAATAGCCTGTTGCGAACAATATATGGGACCATTTGACTTCTCAAAAAAAGAAAATGGAACCATTTGAGGATTCAGGACCCAGTTCAAGAGGGGTTGGAGTGTGTATAGGTATAACCTGAAAATATGAACTTAGCAACAAAGAAAGAAAAACAAGTGATGAACTAGAGGGAAGCTTCGTACCACATTCCTTGTTTACAGGGGTTTCAGAAGGAATATAACTCAAGTTGTTTTCATTAGAGTTGGTTCCAAAGAGAAGGTCATTTGAAGGTTAAACATGCATGTGGATATGTGGTCGGTGATAGGTTCTCTCTCAAGTGGGTGAGTTTAGCAAAGGTTGATTAAAACAAAAAGGTGGGTGAGTTCAGCATAGGTGCTGAGTGTTGGAGTTTTCCTTTCAATTGTGCGATAGACCATCCATTGGATGGACAATCATCTCCAAGGTTTTAAGAACCTTAAATCACCTTTTTTTTTTCTTGGATTTGTTTGTCTGTGAATTGAAGATGTTTTGCAAAATGAAAAAGTTCATGTAATGTGCAATGTTATACTATAGAAGTAAGTTGCACCTCAAAAATCCACTGGAGAAGGCTGTTCTGAGGTTGAAAGCCCTACAATTGATCACCTTGACCTCATGATGTACGGATTAAAAAAAAAATGAGGATTGTAGTCCTAATAAATAGTGCATCTTGTAACAAATCATCTAGACCGTCCATTTTCAAAAATTTTTAAGTGTTAGTTGATCTTGTTCTTCACTACTTCTAGGGCTTTTCATAATTACGCATGAAAATAGATTTTCTAGGCCATTGTAAGGATTTTTGGGAGTTGAGTCGCTTAGCAATATAAGAGGATGTTGGACATAGGTCAAATGACAAGGGGATAAGGTTCTTATTTTCCGCCTAAAAATCATAATGGTTACTTTGTGGGATGGATGAGTCAGATTGAATCTCTCTCATCCCACAGATTTCCTAAATATCCTAATGGTCTAGCTTGCAAATAAGGATAAGACATACCTAGTAGAAATCCTATTCAAAGTGGGTCATATATTTGTTTCTATTTAAACTGATCTTAGTAGTTATGACAAGATCTTTCTCTTTCATGCCAAGATCTCTTTCTCTCACATGCCAAAAATCTCTCTCTTATGCCATATTTTCTCTTCCTCTTATGCCAACGTCTCTCTCTCCTCTTGGTGTGACGCCACCCTATCTCTCTTCTTGCTTGTGATGCCACCCTCTCTCCTCTTGTTTGTGAAGACATCCAAAATAAAAAGAAGAGAAAGTAGGTGGTGGCACATGAAACCCTAAGACTAGGGTTTCCTGATTTTTGAAGGAAAGAGACATACACGCGGCCTAGAGAGGCACCAACATTCAAAATCAGCCGTAATCTGTCCCTATAGGGTTTCTACAAGTCCTAATTGAGTTTTTGAGCTCTCCAAAACCCTAGAATGAAAGGTATTGCCTGTAAAGCGTTCCCTATCTCAGAAATTCCAGCAACACCCTAAAGGACCAAAAGTTCGTCATCAATCAGGGAATCGGGTGTGGGGTGTATCAAGACCTGTGAGGGTAACTTCCGGCATCTTCTATTAAGTCCTCCCAACTGATTTTATTAATTTTCAGTTATATTTCATTCTCTTTTGTGAATTTTCATGAACTTGTACTTAAAATCATAATAGAAGATTGATTAGTGTTCTTGGATGGTTTTCATTTGCTTTGGCAGATCTTAAGTTGTGTCTAGGGTATTAATCTTGATTTACAAAAGTATATAGTGGCCCATAGAATTGGAATTCAGATTTAGGTATATTGAATAAAAGTTTTTTCTTTTTAAAAAAATTGAATACCTTGAGCCATTCTCCTTTCATTAGCAACCTTGATGTGCTTTCGAAAGGCTCATCCTCTCCCCTCCAAAAAACAAAAAATGGCTCCCCCCCCCCTCTAAAAAAAAAAAGAAAAGAAAAAGAAAAAACCTTCAAAAACAAAAATCACGACAATGGTTTTCCTTTCTAGTGAATGCTTCTCACCTGGTATAATTTCATAAACTAATTGGAAGAAAAACTCATAGGTTGACATGATTGCATAAAATTAGTGGAGCTTGCAAGATTATTGGATTTTATAAAATTGACATCTTTATATGTCTGTCCAACACTTACAGTTCTAATTCGATTTAAGAAACAAGAATTCAATTTTCAAAAATCACTATCTTATTCATTTTATTTTAGTTTTTTCTTTTTAATTTTCTTTCCAAGTCATCATGTCCCACCCATTAACTACATGTCATTAAGCCCATCTGCAATTTATTTAAGAATCATTTGGGATCATAGGTTTCATTGTTAAGTTATACACCCAAAACTGATTTTTAAATTTGATAAGAGCGTCTATATAGAACTCAAGGTATTAAATTAAAATTTTTTTTTTGTTTTTTCAAATATAATTGAATTCCACTTAGATGAGCTACTCTATGCTGCTGCAAATCCAATTTAATATCCTAGACACAGCCTATATTATTTAATTTTACTGCCAAAGCAAATAAAAACCATCTAGGAGTAATAAACAATCTTCCACTATGATTTTAAGTACAAAATATATTCCTGAAAATTTACAGAGAAATATAAAATGACTGAAAATTCATTAAATCAGCTAGGAAGACTTACTAGAAGATGCATGGAGTTACACTCACAGGTCTTCATACGTCCCACTTAGGGTTTCATATCCCATCTTTCTTCTCTTATTTTCTTTGACTGACAACACACACATAATAAAAGGAGAGAGGATAGTGTGAGAGAAAAATGGGAGAGAGAGATGTTGGCGTGAGGGAGAGAGAGGCCCCTTTTTTATTTTTAGCGTGAGAGAAAAAATATGGGGTGAGCGTAAGAGAGATCTTAGGGCGTGTTCGAGTGAGAGATCTTGTTATCATGTTAGAGAGATTCAAATAGGGTTTTAAGTCTCAAACAATTTAGGAACTAAAGAACTAACGCAGATGAAAATCTGGTGGCTACAAATTTCAATTTTATTTTTGCTTTTAAGATTGGATAGACTTTTTATTTTTATATATTAGGATAAATTTTTAGAAATAGGATTAGTAGGGATTTTTTTAATAAAAGTTATATATTTTAAGGAGGTGTCCGCATTTTATTTTTGGGCAAGACAATCTTTAGTTTGATAAAGTGAATCTATATTTTAATAGGTGGTTCGGTTTAGATCACATTCTGGAGTTTGCTTCTTAAGATTAACGTGGGTATGAAAAGAGGTTTCCTTTTAATAAGCAAATCTTTATGAATATAAAGATTTATTTTATAAAGATTTTGGAATGAATTTAAAATAGATTTAGTTTAGTTAGTTATCACTTTTGGTTTTTAGTGGGGAATTATTAAGAGGAAGTTATCTTTTTACTCTGAGGAGGAGGTGGGATGTGAGATTGTGATGCTTGGATAATTCCTTTCCTTATATTGGATATTGTAGGAAGCTTTCAAAAGGAAAGTTTAAATGTATAAAAGGAGGAGGCACACATATTGTAATGGAGATTGAAGTTTGATTAATAAGGAAAGTGTTTTTTTGGAAAGACAGAGGCACTTTTGTAGGTGTGTTTTCTTCTCTTCTGTTTATGGTCCAGTGTCAAAATACTCGTATCCGCACATTTTGTTCTTTTTCTTATGATTTCGTTTACGATTTTTTATTTCTCTTAAACGCAGTTATATTTGCTGGTGTTGTTTATCAGTAAATTTTATATTGCGTTAGGTGGTATCAGAGCGTAGTCGATTCTTGTGGATCATAGTATTTGTCGATTGGCATCATGGTTCGTGGGCATGGTTTATGGCCGGGCATCGAGACTTAACACATCTAGTGAGAGCGAGACCTTCGAGATCTCCAAGAGCTTGAGATCAAAATTTTGAGAAGGCAAGTAGAAGAGCTGACCTTGTGCTTGACGCAAAAATAACTTGGACACATTAAGATAACGGTAGTGAGTCGGATGCTACTTTCGACAACCGGTTCCATGGCAACGTTCTATGTTGGGAGCCTCATGGTTAG